GGTATGGGTTGCGGACACCCTCGTGGGTAGCTGAGCTGCTCGCATAGTCCCATGCGATCGTTTTCTCCACTGCTGACGTGCTCAGGTCGCTACCTTCATCCTTACCAAACAGTTCAACTGCGGTTGTGCTGACACCACGTTGGCGACCCATTACGATCGGCGTGACGACATGTGAGATATAATCGCGCATAACTCAACATTCGCCTAACAGCACTTCTCGACATTATACACTTGTCACGAGATACAGCATCACCCACTCAACCCCCCCTTACATATCTCCACTCATCTCACTCCGCTCGTACTCATCAGTTTATCATCCGTTCTATCACACACCCAACACCTTACATGTCTCCACTTGCCTCAGTTTATCTTCTTCGTATTCTTCTTCTTCTGTTTCGATGTGTGTATTTTTTGGCTTCGCTCTAGTCAGTTCTATCTTCAAAGAGTTATTATCATGTGGGGTTATCCGGTCCTCTAATTGAAGAACCCGGACTCAAGAGGGACACTGGTTGAGACGATGCAGACACAGTCGGACAAGTTTTCGAGGCCAGGCCAGAATGAGCGAAAATACGGGGCTAGGAATTTTGGTGCGCTGGTGTATGACAATATGACGAAGTGGAGGTGGACTATCCTAAATGCACTTCACGTGGCAGGCGCGGTACTTTGGAGCCCGTAATGCGATATTTCGTGGCAGGCGCAGGACTTGGTCGCTTCAGGTCGCTGATTCCTTGCGCCTGCCATGCAACTGACAGTCAACACACAGTCAACACAACAGTCAACGCGAGCACTTTTCCTGACAATTCTCAGTCGAAGCGCTGATTTGGACAGCTGCAGCCCCAACCCCAGTCTTAGATTGGGAATTCTAAAGTTTCCTCACGCAACGCACGTTTTGCTTGAGAATTCTCAGGAAAAGTGCTCGTGTTGACTGTGAGTTGACTGTGAGTTGTTGACTGTCAATTGCATGGCAGCTATATAAGGTATAGCAGGTTCCAAACACGGCAACAGTAGATACTGCGAAAAAGACGTGGAGAGGTGCCACCTTTGTGGGGTTGTCACAGGTTGTGTTGACTATGATATGGCATGATGCCGATCAACGTTAGCAAAAAAAATCCCCCAGGTATTGCCTGGTAGATCACATTATATCTTTGTTGAATAACGTCACACTATTCGCCAAAAAGTATTCTTTGCGCACAAGAAAGTACACTTAGTCAACGTATCACAATCGGCCACATTTTTATATAACTTCCATGTATCAAACTGACAAATGTTCATTGTTTTTAATTTGTGTAAACGCTCTGGTAATATTAATTTTCACTTGGATATATCTTAACTTCTCATTCCACAGTTGGTTTAAAACTTTAAGATCAGCGTCTTAATTGAATAGTATAACTTTGGGATTGAGTTACATACCTCCTTGTTGAAGCTATACATTGATAGGCTATGTTTGTTATAAGTGTCTTCATCCTCAACTGTGCAACTCTCAACTGAAGTTCTGTTCAACTGGCTTCTGTGTTTGGATTGTAAGTTTGACTTTGTTCAACTTTTGGTTCAGTTCAGTTATAACTTATGCTTGGCATAAACACTTTTGTTTGGTTTTGAAGTGTTAAAGACAATATTTAATACCTGTTCCATTTCCTTAATCGATACCCCCTTTCAGTCAACTCATCTCCGCCCATAATTTCACACGTTTTTCTTATCAAGAGCATTTTTTTAGTTGTCCCACTCATAAGAGCAGTGTCATAAAATTCATTAATGCATTCCTCGGGCATACATTATCTATGTGTGATGACCCTTTTCAACGTCTATCGAATTGTGTCAGCATCTTTTTGGCGTGTTTGTATCATAGCGCCAGATTTCGACATTAGCTGCGTCTGTCAAATTGTCATTCAATACATTCATTCCTTTACCGTTCTTCTATTTTTTCTCTACTGACCCTGATTTGATACAGCTTAAGTTGTCATAACACATTGTCAAGTCCTTAAACTAAATCAATCTTTCTTTATCGTCTCATAGAGCTTTGGTATGTCTTCTGCATTTTTCCTTTGAAAGTTCTCTTGCGTATAAGGTCCTTAGGAAAATCTGTCGCGTTTATATTTTGAAGGCTGACAGTGAATTCATAGACTCCTTGATGTGTAAAGGTTGGTTTTCGTTTGATACCAAGCTCTTTGAAGCCCTTGTAGATCTATCTATAGTATTGACTTAGACATGCATGCGGGAGGCAAAAATGGTAGATGTTTGGAGGGGTAGCATATATACATATATAGATATACAATTCCAAATCACAGAATGTACTAGTACTAGCATGTTGTTTCAGAGAAGAAGAGCGTCATTGCGAAAGCCAGCCATGGGAGAACGAAGTGAGTAAAAGGGGGTGTGGGGGGGTAGACGGGCCGGCGTCGCAGAATGTAGTGAACATGTATGGTTTTGGGGGTCTAGTGATGCGAGTGATGCAATTGACACCGAAGAGTGCACCATTAGCATCACGAAGAGCTCAGGAGACTATTTGGACAGTTTTTCATCCGGAGAGTGGGACGCCGCCAGGCCTCACAAAATACGTGGCTTTCAGCCTTTTGTTTTTGAACCCATACATATGATGTTTGTGGTTGTTTACAGGTCCTATTCAAAAATGCTACGTTGTATGTTGACGACGTAGTATGTTGACGACGTAACATCATCAGTATATCTAAAGTATTTCTCAATCAGCTTAGTTGTAGGTATTTGCAAGTATATAGTTATTGTATTGTTTAGTTTTTGTTCATCCTCTTCTGTGTTCAGTCCCTGAAACAGTATTCTTCCAGCAACATTTTATGTTCAAACATTTTGTGAGTCTTTTCATCAACACATTGTTTCATAATCTTTGGTATTTGTCAGCCCATGAACTGGTTTTTGTTGTTTGGGATCATGCGTTGCAAAAAAAAATATTGTTCAACAAACTATTTGGTGTTCCAGCAAACACTTAAACCGATGAAATAGATTTGGTCAATTGCTACGACGTCAAATTCTGAATACCTGGTTCATTTCCTCAATTCTGCTAACATTATCATCAGTATCGATCTCATCTTTTTGAATCTCTCTATTTTTAGATGTGGTGTTTCTACAATTTGATTTTCTACAACTTTGTAAAGTTCATTAGGTAATTTAGTTCCGCATACTTGCTTACTATCCAGCCTCCAATCTTTCAGAATGTCGTAGGCATTTGCTGGAGTTTCTTGCTTGGGAGGGGGTCGACCGAAAAGATTAACCTTTTTGCGCCGATTCTTTTTTGTCGACCCTCCTCCTGGCCTTTGCCAAAGGCTCCCAATCTGCTACACATTAGGGAAGGGAAGTCAGGGTCTTTTACTCGACCCTGCTCTCCTACCCATTGTGAAAGTTTCTACTCTCGTACACATTGATGGTTTTTGATTGGGATCAGCCAAAAAAAATGTTGCTATCATTACTATCTGGATACCATGGCACTGAGGATTTGATAATTCTGTGGAATTGTTGCTGTATATAAAAATAATAAATACAGTGCATGTTTATAATTCACTGTATTTCCAGAAGCGTGGAAAACGTGGGACCTGACAACGTTCCTTTCTAGGAGTTTGGGTAGAGGACAGGAAAGGGTGGATTACGTGACAGGAAATGCAAGAAAAGAGGTCGGGAGCTCATCAGGCGTGTCCATCCAGTCAGGGGACAGAAGTGGCGAGATTTGCGCAAGCCAGAATCTATTTGTGATAGAGATAGCGTTTGGACAACGCAGGAGGACATTTGCGGGAATCATTTTACAGCAACGTTTTGATATGCTACCTCCCCTTTGTTCCTTAAAGAGGATACCTCAGATGGAAGAGTGCAGGTAGAGGACACGAGAGGGAATAGAATGCAGTCAGCAACTTCAGAGGTTGCTTGGGGGTGCCCCTTTTTGTGGTGAAGAGGAAGGGACGTAACTGGATAAAAAAGGGCACTCCTCAGAGTCATAGATGTCCAATGTGGTACGGGTCGAAGTCTATCCCATGTCCAGTAACAGTGGGTGGGAGTTGCTCCAGGCGCTGTGTTTTTCGGCTCTAGCTTTTCGAGTTTCAACGCGAGACTCTGCGTTTCTCAGCCCTCTGCTTTCCTGTGGGTAAAAAGAGTAGAAGGTAACGCAAGAAACGCACAGGCCAACCGGATGTGTCCATCTGGTTAGAGGACCGAAGCGGCGAGATTCTGGTCAAGTTAGAAACGTAGAGATGGCGTTGGGACAACTTGGGAGGAGATTTGCGGGTTTGATTTTGCATCTGTTTTGATATGGGATCTCCTGGAGAGGAATTAGAATGTAGTCAGGAACCTTTGAGTTGGTTGGCGCTGTTCCTTTTTTGTGGCCAAAGGGTTATTAACCGGATGAAAAGGACACCCCTCTGTGCTATATGTGTATATAAATATATACAGAGATGTCTAAAGGAGTTGGAGTGTTGCAGGAATGGCAGTCTATCCTATTACCGGCAATTGCAAATGGCTGTCTATCACGTATTGGCAGCAAACTTTAGACTGCACCGCTTTTAGCAGTACACCGAGTTTATGAGTCCAGCTACAAGACGGGGTGACCAACACCAGGCAAGCGCCCCTCGGTTACTTGGAGGTGTTTTTTTCGTCTTAAGAAAGCCTTACAACCAAAAAAAGGGCACCCCCCCCGACCTGTGAATGTCCTGCCCAAATCACCTTTATGCCCCGGGACTGTAAATGTCCTACTCGACTCGACCTTTCTCCCAACGCATGGGCTCCACTTCTACCATATATCAGCCCTCAATGCCCATCCCTGAGAGCAATCCCAGTGCGCAGACGAATTCACCCTCCATAACCACCTTCATGTCTTCTTAAGAAGGCTGGCTTTCGTCCCCTCCCTTCTCAGGTATGTATAATTCTTGCCCGACACGTGCATCACAGTGTGCAAAAGTCATCCCAGAGGGCACCCCCCGTCTCTGTTGAATTGGACATCAGCGTTTCATTTGGGAGTGAAGTAACCGTTGGTGTTACAGATACAGGCTGCGGCCTGCCCTTGGGTTCAAGTTAAGCCTGCCAGGACCTTACAGTGGAAAGCCCTGCAGTAATTGAAACATGATAACATCTCCCAGGTCATGCTTCCATCAAAGTCAACATCCGTGCAATCAGACGATGACTACTGGTCATCTTGGAGTGAGCGCTGGGATCAGGCTGCCCTGAGAATCTGACTTACATCACGTCTATGAATCTATGACCTCGAAGTAGGGAATTCGTTTGACTCATCCTTGGCGCTAGTCATTTCCAGTTCTAATGATGCAGGCCAAGCGCCATGCGCAAGGTGTTGCAGAGCTGTCCTATGCCAGAGACTAAACAATCCACGCCGTCGCGTAGTCTATGCAGCTGAAGAACTGGTTAATTACACTGTTACACTAGTTGCATATGGTTGCTATGAGGCACTGCTGGCAGCATGGGACATGCTCACTTCGCTGCCGGCTTGCGCCTAAAAACCCGGGAAGGGCAAGCACATGCAAGCACATCTCCAATGCTTAGCCTCGGGCGGACAAGGGCAGTTTCGGTGGCCTTCACTTTTCTTAGGTTACATCATTGGGGCCAGATTTCTTGTGGAGGCTGCTGAAAGTCGTGTTTGGCTCAGCGAACCTTACTTGTGTGGTTATTCACGCATAGGTTTTTCTTGAGTGAACGCCTGTAAAGCCAGCTGGCCAACAGTTTGGATTTCTGACACGAGGTCTTCAAACCCTTTATGATGCACATTGTCTCAACACTCCAAGCCATTTCCTTGCTGGTGTGCCAGGGAAAGTGATTTGCTTTAGTGCAGCTTACAGCTTACGTGTTTGTTTCAAGTGGCCAGGTTTTAACCTTGTATTGGCTTGCAAGTGGTAACGAAATCCCCTGGTGTGCGGTGCCAAGCTTTGAGTGTGCAAAAGTATGACACAGTGCCCTGCAGGCTGCTGCAGAGTAAGCAGTTCATTGAGTTTGTAGTGCGGATCATTTGAGTAACGTTTCCTCATGAGATGTGAGATGTGTCAAGATGGAGTTGAACTGCTGCTCTTGCCGGAATAGTCAAGTTAGTCAAGTTCGGTCAAAGAGCTTGAAGGTGTTGTGCTTCATGTTTTGAACACAACTATAAGTTTGAGAACTTGAGAAGAGCTAAAGCGTTGGGCTTGTGCAAAGACGGCCATACTTGTATTGTACGCTGAGGTCCAAAGCAGCTTGTTCTAACTAATTTGATGACCCAAGGAGCATATGTATTGGCGTTTAATTCTTGTTCAGCAATCTCTTCATTGCTCCAACTGTTTCTTCAACTTGGTTGAGGAGACACCCTTCTTTGTGGGTTGGCGGGAGCATGGGTGCCGGCCAGAGCTGACGTGGACTGTGCAGACTTAAGATGAGCAAAGCGCTTGAGGTGCTCGCATGGCCAGTTGTGATCCCCTTCATTCTCCTGATCGTGCGCCTGCAGCGAGTTTTTTCCTTGCTCACGGTCTTGTTGAGGACATCTATACCATAATTTGTTTATACTCGTCTTTCTGTGTGAAAGGCACTATATACAAGGTGTGATGCTTCCAAGCAGGTCTAGAAGGTTCCAGAAGGGTTTCACAAGGGTTCTGAGGGGTTCGTATCGTTTTGCATGGCATGTTCCAGTAGATTCGAGGTGCTATAAGATTGTGGGTTCGTTCTGGTGGAAGAGACACATGGGCATTTGGTTTAAGATTCCAGGTTGCAGCATATGGATTCTGGAAGGTCAATCAAGGCTGAGGTTGCAGGCAAATCTATGAGGTGAAGACTCAGGTTCTTATAGGTTGTGGAAAAACGTCCAGTGTTTCAAGTATAGGGTTGTAGCGTTCTCTTTAGGTTGTTTAGGGCAAGATTCCGCGAGTCTGGCAGGTTTTTTTCGAGGTAGTCTAAGTTCTATTGGCTTTCAGGCAGAATTTCAACAATCTTTTGCAATGTGCCCTGAAGAGAATTGCCGTGGAAGGCAGAAACAATAGCAGTTCCAGCTATTGGGGGTTCGCAATGTGTTTATTAGTTCTTGAATTACACAGTGTGCACACAACAAATATGGACTGATTGGACAGAGAAAGAGGCGGCAAACTTCATGATGATTCGAGTTTGCTTCATTCTACCTGGCAACATGAAGAAGGACCAGGAACACCTGGAGCATTTGACAAGCTGGTTGTTTGTAGTTGTGCCTCAGAACACCTGAGAACCAGGAAAGCTGCTGGGAGGAGGCTGATGGTGCAGTGAAGCCATGGGAGAGTAGCAACCCTGACTTTCTTCATGGAACCGTCCGTCCACTTTTTCTTGAACTGCAGTATCAAGGTGCAAGTGTGTATCATATGAGGCTCTTTCCTTGGGCCATTTGCAGGACTGTTGTGCACTTTCTTTTCGTGCATTCGTTGTCGCAGAAAACAGCTTGCTTGCACTGTGTGTCGTGCTATACTATCATTCTTTGGAACCGGATGTGCTCTTGTAGGCTCTAAGCAATTCACCGCTCTCTGCCTTCTTCTCATGGATGTCTTGATCTTTTTCGGCCCCATCATGGTGGTGGCCCCACCTCTTCGGCCAAAACGACAACGGGAGCAACGGATCTCATTCGATTCGAGGCGGTCTATGGTGTTCTGGTCGAGATTCTCGCTTACTGCAACGTGCTTGTACGTGGAAACCGCTTTGAGTGCGGCACCTAGTTGCTTGGGCAATGAGAGCCAGAAAGAAGACAGAAAGGGAGGTTGCTGTCGGGGTGTTATCCCTGCTTTTAAGAATCTTTGGAAAGTTTATGGTGAAGTCCTGTGACTGAGGTACAAAACAGCTTCCAAGAGTCTTGCAAGTGGCAAGGAGGTGAACAAGTCATATGGCTCCTGTGAGGGCATGGATTCTACCCAGGCTGGAATCTTTGCACGTAGAACCACAGCCACACGTGACGGAAGATCTTTCCGAGGAAACTCCTGCACTTCAAAAAAATACTGAGTCTGATGATGTTGAGACAGGCCAGAAATAGAGTTTGGATCCAATTACATAGCCCAATAGCTAGCAGTCATGACACAATTTGGTTGGCATGAGTACCATCCCAATGCTACTTGAACCGTGCCAAATCAAAAAGGCGTCTTTGTGTTCTTTTCCGAATCTAGAAGGTGGGAGAGGCTGGCAACGTGACGCTGAACAGAATGAAAGCCACGCGACATGCTTCAGACCTTTGGCAGTTTTGAGCTCCCATGCCCTCTTCTTCCACTAGTTTGTTGACTAAGAACGTCTCTTTGTGTTGAACCAGCACTGCTTGGTGAAGGGAAATTTGACGTATGCTGGCATGCTGTGCACATTCTTTGTACATGTTACTCATTCTCGTGTGTCAATGCTCCTTTGGCTCCCATTCAGCACAGGACACGTTTTGTATTCAAACCACCCCTTCGGCATACTTGATTATCAGCTCACCCTTATGAGAGTTTGGCCGTTGGCTCCAAGCTTATCCCGCTTTTGGATGCTTTCCATGCCATAGCTGTGTCAAGTGAGCATGGTGGGTCGATTACCAAGCTTTGTGTGAAGTGTGCCTTCTTTGGAATCACTTTAGCGATCTTAACTGTCCTTCCCAAAAGTGTCATGTGCTTCTAGATGGAAAAGCGGAACGGTGCGGATCGTGAAGATGATCGTGATCGTCCAAAAGACCGTGATGATTCGAAGAGCTTTTGGAACGGGTCGGTGAGTGACAAACGAAAGATGGAACGCACAGTCGACCGCACGCGGGGCACACGCTCGCTTTTCAAACCTGGACTGGCTATTGCTTATATCTATGCCAGTGTAGTATCAGTCGTGTGGCAATTGTGGCCGAAACATGCGAGCGTGGAAGATGAAACTGACTCAATCATAGGACGGGCAACCGAGCACGAGGAGACAAAGGAGAAAGGCCTTGGAGCTGCATTTGAACTGGAAATCAAAAGCGAAAGTCACACAGCCCGTGGCACAGCGCGTGGCACAGCCCGTGGCTACCTTCCATCTTTGACAGCTCAAATAGCTTCTGATGCTGCAGCCCGCACCCAATCGATGATAGCTGACGTGACACCGCATGGGAGTTTAGCCTTGGAGTCATTCGACAACGTTGGGCGAGCCTTTGAGACCTTCGGAGATCATTTACATGTGTCTTGGGGATGGATGTATCAGGGTACAACTGGGCTAGTTGGAGATCAGCGCAAGCAAGAGACGACCAAGGGCTTTATGCCAAAGTCGCTGAAAGTCCTTGGCTCCAGCCTGGGATGGCAAAGTATTTTTGAAATGTCCTTTGCCACAGGAGAGAAAGTAAACTCAATTGACTGTTCTTTGCTCCGCAGTGGCAGACTCCCCAAAGAGGCCAAAGCACAAAAGTGGACTTTGATTTCGGGCGAAGCTGTTGAGCTGCAGTGCCCGAAAGGATTATTTGTGCAGTGGACAGGAACCCTATTGCGGCTTGCTGCTGGAGGAGAAGCACTGCGAGTTCGGGTTTTTTATACAATCGAGAACGCCAATACAGCCACACAGCATGCAAGCATGACAAACATGCCTGTGGGTCTAACCATCTGGGATTTTGGCACTTCATTGGCATGTTCTTCTGGAACTTCGGGAGATTGCTTTGGAAGCAGTGGAGAAGTTGACGGCAGTCCTTTAATAGATCCCGGACGAGGGCTATGGATTGGCATGGAACACCCACGCGTGCTTTGTCACTGTTTTCAAAGCATTGGAACTGCTTTTCTGAGAGTCTTGCTTGGCAGCTCATGGTTGTGGCTATTGTTCTTTTTCCCCAAACACAGTGGGCACACTGAGGGGTTCTTACGGTAGTGGAAAAGCAGGTGTGCTTAGATCGCTGTTCCGCGCGGGCGTGGACGGCTAGCTCGCTGCTATTTACAGTACATTCATGCCTCTCGACATCATCAATGTGCATTTCGACTGCGCAGGCTCGCAAAATCTGCCTGCCGGCGGCGGGTACTTCTAGCGACTGCGCTCTCGTTGTGGTGCCGCGCACATTTTGGTATATGGTGGTCACTTTTCGTGGCAGGTGCAAGGGAAACCTCGTGTTTTGGTGCTCCAAAGTCCACTTTACGTGACAGGTGCAAGGGATCGGAGCTGTCTCACTTCGAAACGCAGTTTTCATGGCAGGTGCAGCACTTTGGATATGGTGGTGATCGTCGAAGAGCTCTGATTTCGTGACAGGTGCAGTGAATCGTGACTTGGACATGTGGCTCGTTTGCAGATTTCGTGGCAGGTACAGCACCCTGTGACCCTCGATGTGCAGATTTCGTGGCAGGCACAGCACTCTGTGACCCTCGATGCGCAGATTTCGTGGCAGGCACAGCACTTTGTGAACTTTGATGTGCCGATTTCGTGACAGGTACAGCACTTTGTGAACCTCGAGCTGCAGATTTCGTGGAACCTCGAAGCGCAGATTTCGTGGCAGGAACAGCATTTGGTGAACCTCGAAGTGCAGATTTCGTGGCAGGCACAGCACTTTGTGAACCTCGAAGTGTAGATTCGTGGCAGGCGCAGCACTTGGTGAACCTCGAAGTGCAGATTTCGTGGCAGGCACAGCTCTTTGTGAGCCTCGAAGTGCAGATATCGTGGCAGGTACAGCACTTTGTGACCCTCAATGCACAGATTTAGTAGCAGGCGCAGCACTTTGTGCTGTCAGATGCTCACTCTCTCACTCACTCACTCACTCACCCACTCATACAGGCTCACACTCACACTCACTCTTCACTCACACTCACATTCACACACACTCACTCACGCTCACATTCGCTCACACTCACACTCTCACTCTCCCACTCACTCACACTCACACTCCGTCACACTCTCACTCTCACTCACAGTCACCCTCATACACACTCACTCTCGCTCACACTCTCTCACTCTCACTCACACACTCACTCACACACACACACTCACGCTCACACTCACACACACACACACTCGCTCACTCTCTCACTCTCTCTCACTCTCACTCTCACTCTCACTCTCACTCACCCACTCTCACTCTCGCTCTCACTTTCACTCGCACTCTCACTCTCACTTTCATTCTCACCCTCACTCTCACTCTCACACGCATGGTGGGGTGGGGTGAGGTGGGGTGGTAATGACGTGCTTGTAGCGATGCAAGGATGCAGTTATATGTACCTCACTGTGGTTTCCTTTGTGTATCACAACTTTGCTCTTTTTATTGCATGTGTTTCTACGCAACATCCAAATCTACGGTGAATGCCAATAAACAGTTCAAGTAATGACTCTTCAAGATGACTTCAAGTCGAAAAGTCGAAGGAAGAACACTTTCCCGCAGGTTGTTCAGTGAAATAGACTTGCGTGTTGAGTTGCAAAGTGTTGTGAAGTAAGAACAATTATCGTGAAAACAAAATCTAGGCTGAACTTTTGGATGACTGCGGATCACTTTTATCATCAGACCCATCTTCCTGGGGAAAACATGGGACCTTTGATGCACTGGCAAAGACACTTCAAAAACAAAGCTATTGTAAATACCAACAAAAAATCCACAGACAAGACAATTAGCCCAGCTGGAGGCCCCAATAGCAAGATACAAACCGGGACAAAAAGAAAAATCTGGAAACAGCTGCTGTTTTCAACACATCGACCATCTCTTCTTTGGCACCATCACAACATGACCGGGACACCATCACATGCCTGGGACACAATCACAACATGACCGGGACACCATCAAAACATGACCGGGACACCATCAAAACAGGACCGGGACACCATCACAACATGACCGCGCCACCATCACATGATCGGGACACCATCAAAACATGACCGGGACACCGTCACAACACGACCGGGACACCATCAAAACATGACCGGGACACCATCACAACATGACCGGGACAC